AGAGGGTACGGTGTGGGGAAGTGGATACAGGGGGAAATGAAGTGCCCTCCCCCCACAAGGTCTTGTGGGCAGGGCTGGTTCCAGGTTTTGGGGGACTGCCTGCTCTGACCATCAACACGCCTTTCTTCCAGCCCACCCACATTTTCATCTGCCTGCGTGTCCTTCCTTCCCCTGCCCGTTCATGAACCTTCCCACACACCATATGTTGGTTCTTCAATGGTGCTGGGTGGTGTGTGCAGATAGGAACACCACCCCTGTGCCCACCAGAAGTGCCACTGTTGTACCTCCCCTGGCAGCTTGAGTGCCCACCAGAAGTGCCACTGTTGTACCTTCCCTGGCAGTTTGAGGTTGGGGGGCTCTGCAGCAGTAGGCCCAGCCAGAAACCATGGGCCCTGACAGCTGCCCCATCTCAGGATAAGTTGATGCTGGCCCTGCTTCTGGGTTCCCCACTGCACAACTGGGCCATGGTTTTCCAGAGGAGAGGCTGCCAGAGGGAGGGAAGAAGGGAAAGCTAAAGACAGGGGGACAGAAAAGGCTAGGCTGGCTGGTGGGCAGGGAAGAGAGAAGGAAGCAGGAAAAGGGGAGAGGCTATAACCAATGTTGCCTCTAAGCTGTGGAGTCTTGACAGCCAAAATTCTACTTTGTGAGCTACTGGCATTAAAGTTGTGAGCGAGCGATTTGGCTACTGCATAAATTAGTTTGCTCTGGAGCCATCCTTCCTGAGCTAAGACAAGAATGTGTGAGCCAGAGGCTAGAAAACTGAGCTAGCTCATACTAACTCAGCTTAGAGGGAACACTGGCTATAACACTCTCAGGGAAAGGAAATAGTGGGCGAGGGGAAAATGAGATACCCTGACTTGTGAAAATTAAGGGTCACATACTTGTTTCTCATAAGAGAGAAAGAAAATCAAAATGGGATATTCAATTTTGGTCAAATTCAATTCAATTCAATTCAAAACCTTTATTGGCATGGATTTGGTTAAATTCAAAGTTCTGCATGTGTATGATCACATGCTGTTAAGTAAAGAATAACAAACTAACCTGCTGTTCAGGAGGCCACATTTACCTCTCCCTCTTTTGTTCAAATATTTTGAGGCCTTGAATTGCTTCTGAAAATTAGGGTCTTTAGAACATCTCTCCAAGAAGCCTCTTAAGCAGGGCCGTAGCTAACGCGGGGAACACGGGGTGATACCCACTCCCAAATTCCCAATGCCACCCCCCGTCCAAAGATCCTTGCGCCACTCATTGACATGTAGACAGAGGGGGTGACAGGGAGAAGCAGGAGACACTCTGTCAACACTTGTGCTGCTGCACTTCCTGTCCCCGGCCCAGCCAGCCCTCCACCAGCTGAATCACCTGCACGAGGGAAGTGGCAGGCTGCATAAACATGCAGTGGTGACAGTCAAGGCAGGCAGCTGCCCTGGGTGAAGCAGAAAGTAGAGGAGAGGGCATGGAGGAGCCCAACTGGAGCAGCCCCCGGCCAATGTGAGAGCCACCCACTTCCTCTCAGCAGGTGGGTGCCTCAAGGGGAGTGGGTGGGAGTAAATTTCCCTGGGAGTAAACTTCCCTTATGGGAGCCTAGTGGCCACTATCTTCCAACACAGCCCTGCACAGACACTCCACTCCACAAATCATTTTTAAAAATATTCTATATGTATAAAACTAACAATTAGGGATTTGGATTGTGATGTTTGATGGAGAATTAAATTAGTTGTATCAAAGATGTAACTCTTGGTTTAAAAAATGGAGTGATGCATTTCTCAGTATTAGAACTAGGTTTTATTTTCTTGTATTTTGCTACTTTGATTCATTGTTGGATGATAAGATGTTCTCCTCTTTCTACCTGATGGCTCTAAATGAACATATTCAGTATGTTGGGATTGTTCAGTTGCTTAAGCGTTTTTGTTGGCTGTGGATTGGCCTCCTCACTTTTAGTGATGAGACTGGAGAATTTTTCTCACAGGGATACAACAAAAGGGAAGCAAACCCAACCTCAGAATCAAGTTAGGTACTCAAAAGGTTGAGTAGTAAGTACATGAGAAAATAATATAAATATTTATTGCACAGTGCACCAGATAAAGATTAAAAGCCACATACATTCATGAAAAATAAAAGTGTCATATACAGCAACCTACTAGAGCTGCATGTACAGTGATGACAAGATGTCAACAATGGTTTCACATAAAAATATATAACCACTAAGCTAGAAACGTTTCGGCCCTAATGGTCTTCTTCAGTTGCACACACCTAAAAAGTAAAACATCTTTTCAGGGCCAGGCAGGTTATAAATAACTCACTATAGGGTGAGGCTCCAAATAAGGATTGTAAAAGAGGCCTGTAAATAATAAGGAGCCAGCGCTCATCAAGGATAATATCTGTGAGCCAATATTCTGCCCTTGGCTGTAGCTGTATCTCCTCAGTGTGTGCAAATGTGAACCAGGAGGAGATATAGCTACTGAGATACTACTAGTGAGGAGATATAGCCTCACCCTCAGTAGTGTCGGTTCCATCGGCATCTCGTTCTGAGCTCACCTGGAACCAATTTCGGTCACCCTCCATCTCAGTTCCTGGAAGTGTTTTAGAACCAGCAGCAATGAAGACTAAGACCAAAACTAACCATAAGGATAAACCTAAGTCTGAGTCTCAACCTCATTGCTCCCAGCTGGCACCAACAAAGCCAATACCTGATTCCAAGGAGCCTGTTACAGACCCCTTAAAAACACTTTCAATTCATTCAGTCACACCTGTGCGCTGTGCCCCAGAGGGCGATATCATCTCGGACATAGTCCCATCTATGAATATGAAGTCAGTATGTATGGATCCAAGAGTGCCTTCTACCTGGCCCCAGGGGTACCCACCATTCCCTTGGCAGCCTTACCCCCTACTATATATCCCCTGCCTACTGTTCTGACTGGGGGGACTATTCTTTGCCTCCACGTTGTATGGAACTGAGCTCTGATAAGCTGGCATGCCATGGGAACCGTCCATCGACTTCATTGTCAGTTCCACCACAGCCACACTTTGCAGGTTATCTGCGTGAATCTGAGGAAGACAAGGAGGGCGTAATAGTCAGTTCTGGACAAAGCTCTGAAAACCCATCAGATCCATTGCCTGATGAGCAAGTAGGGGATTCTGCACCTACATCTCCAAGAGATTTGTACCTCTATGCAGAGCAAATGGTGAGGATGGCTGAATAACAGGAAAATTATATCACAACTACAGAATAAAGACCAAAGGATAAAATCCTTGGACACTTGTATTCAGAATCATGGCAGCATTTGCAGTGTGAAAGGGTTATAAAGATCTGTTTAAAGATGACTGAAAGAAGAAGAAGTGTAGGGTAGTTTGAAGATGTGCACCTAAGCAATTAGCTCAAGATATTTTTGTGCCAGTGATGGTAAGTCCAAGTAGCAGTCTCCTTCCATTAATTAATGTAGGGAACAATCTAGTGGAAAGCTGATCTGCACAAGGTAATTTAAATGACTGGTGGAAAGACTGCAATGTTCTTTTGTATTTCCTCTTTATTTCATAGAGCTTGCACAGGAGAGCTTTCCAGTAGACTGTACCCTAGAGTTCAGATCTATGCATTTCCCACTCCATCCCTTAATGATACCCATTCCTGAAGGAGCGTCTTCACCTCAGCTTGTGGTAGGACAGCTTCTTCTGTGGGATGAATTGATGCATAGGCTTTGCAGATACTCAGAGTCTAGCCGTTCAAACTTCAGAGGTGTTGGAAAGAACTTTTCCCTCAGATTATATTGACAGTGACCTTAGGAAACTCTTGCTTTTCTATTCAATATGTGACTTGGCTTATTTGCATGAGTCATTTCTATATCCTGTTAGCAGCTTTGTGGATGTGCCTGTGGGAATATTATGGTTTGCATTAAGTACTATTGTTCTCTACTGAGTACTATTGTACACAGTCCTGTCCTTTGGATGGTAGCTGAATTAGAGCCCTAACCTGCATAACTCAGGCTAACCCAATCTCTTCAGATCTCGGAAGCTAAGTAGGGTCAGATTTGTCTAGTATTTGGAAGGGTGACCTCCAAGAATTACTAGGGTTGTGACACAAAGGCAGGCAATGGCAAACCACATCCGAAATGTCTCTTGCCTTAAAAACAAGTCTAGCTTGCCACCTAGTGGTGCATGATACCAAAAGAGCTACAACTTCTGGCTGTCAGACAATTTTAGGATCTTCTGGCTATACTACACACAACGCTAAACAGCAACAAAAGAGCTAGAACTTCTTGCTGTCAGACAATCTTAGGATCTTCTGGCTATACTACACATAACGCTAAACAGCAAAAACAATAATAGTTGAACTAGATTGCCCTCTGGTCCCTTCCATGCATCTGCGATTCTACAAAGAAGTGAAGTTCTGTGCTGAAATTTAAAAACAACAACAAACACACAGTGCATGAAACGTAAAGTATATGTGTTGGGCTGCGATGACAGCAGGAGGAGGAGGAGGAGGAGGAGATTGGATTTATACCCCGCCCTTCACTACCCAAAGGTGTCTCAGAGCAGCTTACAAACTCCTTTCCCTTCCCCTCCCCTCCCCACAACAGACACCCTGTGAGGTAGGTGGGGCTGAGAGAGGTCTTGACAGAAACTGCTCTTTTTTCAAGAACAGCTCTTATCAGAACTACGGCTTGCCCAAGGACATCCAGCCAGGTGCAAGTGGAGGAGTGGGGAGTCAAACCCAGTTCTCCCAGATTAGAGTCCGCGCACTTAACCACTACACCAAACTGGCTCCAAACAAGCATTAAATTCTTGGTGAGATTTCTCTTGTAGATCATATACTCAGAATGCACACAAGCTCATTCAGAAGATTTGTGGTGGTAGTGGGAATTACCATCAAATTGCAGCTGATTTATCGCAACCCCCTCATGGGATTTTCAAGGAAAGAGATTAACAGAGGTCATTTGCCACTGCCTGCCTCTGGCCCCTGTCACATGGCAAAGTTGTGCGGGAGAGGCACGGATGGTGGGTGGATTATCCGGGCACGATCACACCCCAACATCTGGGAAGTGGAGCGCACCCGTGGCTTACCGCCGACAATGCAAGTTAAAAACGTTTGCCACGGGCTGCCTCCAGATGCCCATGGTGTGATCACACCGGACTGCGGCATTCCCCTCTGGTCCCTCGTTTACCCACCGGCAAGGGAAGGATCCGTGGTGTGCTGCCGGTGTGTCTGATTGCGTAATCGTGCATAAAACTGTGCCGGGGCAATTAGCCATGCCTCCCCCCCACGATATCCGGCCCGTGTGACCGGGGCCTCTGTTTAGCAACCCTGGCATTCCTCGGTGGTCTCCCATTCAGGTACCCACCAGGGCCAACACTGCTTAGCTTTCAAGATCCAGTGATACTGGGCTAGGCATGGCCAATCCAAGTCAGATTTGGACTGAAGGAAACATTATAGACTGAAAAATTACACTAGGGATTGGAAAGGAATTCATAATAACACATCAAACATTAAAAGAAAATGTGGTAAGCCCTCGCGGCACAATTAACAGTAGAACTGTCATTTGCAAACAACATTGCGGGGAATACAGCAGTACCTTATATTCCCTGCAAATACAATGAGCACTGTAAAAATTCATTCTAAAATTAAAGAATTGTCTGTTGTAAAACTCTGGTTGGCACAGGACTGTAAAAATCAGTAGTGGCCTTTTTACCCTTTTGATGCAGTAAATTTCCTGGAGATATTCTGTTTTATTGCGCCACAATGGTATATTCGGAATAGTGCTGTTTTAACCTTAGTAGTGCAAATGTTTATAATTCATATGATTTAAACTTGATAAAGATTAGAAGATGTCAAGTCCCATTTGGTTGAAATGTCAGGCACATTATCCGTGACTAAAAAAAAGGGGAGGGAGGTACAAAAGGAAACCTTGATACGCATTTTCTTTCCAGTCTCCATGCCCTGCAATCTGGGTGGTAAGTTGGTATTTCACATTGCCTGAGGCCCTGCTTTTGAAAACAAGATCTCTGGGATCATTCTTCACTGCCTCTCACAGTGGCTTACGTAGCATTTCTGCCACTTCTGAAACACAGCTCGAAAAGTTCAAGTGCGTGTCTCTTGACTGCACCAAACAAATCGCTGCCCATTTTTTGTGGGGAAAGAATTTACTACTGTCGTTCACATGGCTTCATATTTTACTGAAATAGAAAGGGGGTACAGATTTTAAAGCCTGGACTCCCTCACTCCAGTGCGCTGATTTTGTTTATTTCCCATTGATTGTAACTTAATGCGTTCTTTGTGCTTTTGGATGGGTTTGCTATCAACTGCAGTAGAACATTTACAGCCACCTTCAGAGAGGGTTTTAAGCTCCTGTGGAACTCTCGTGTCAGTTCAGATCTTGACGATATCCCTAGCCTACAAAGGCTACAAGCAGTAGGGTGTAAGGGGCAAATGTTATGTATACTCTTCCCTGAACAGAGGAGACATGAGAAGAGACATGACTGTACTCAGGGCTCTTTTTGTAGAAAAAGCCCAGCAGGAACTCATTAGCATAATAGGCCACACCCAACAGCAAAGCTCATTAGCATATTAGGCCACACACTGACAGCACCACTCATTAGCACATTAGGCCACACCCCCATGTTACCAGAAGTGTGGTCATCCAGCCACACCCACCTTTCTCTTCTTATTCTGTTTACCTTGTTTGTGGTCAAAACCCAGGGCTTTTTTTGTAGCAGGAACTCCTTTGCATGTTAGGCCACACACCCCTAATGTAGCCAATCCTAATGAGTTCCTGCTGTTGGGTGTGGCCTATTATGCTAATGAGTTCCTGCTGGGCGTGGCCAACTCAGGAGCCAGCCGGAACACCGTCCCTGTGCGTTCCTGCCCCAAAATAGCCCTGACTGTACTCTTCAAATTCCTTAGGGCTCTCACCTAGAACAGGGCAAAGATTTGTTTTCTGCTGCTCCAGGGGGCAAGATTTAATAGACTTGTGTTACAGGAAGATAGATTTTAGTGAAACATTAGGAGAAATTTACTAATGGCAAGAAAGTTTCAACAATGGAATAAATTGTGTGTGTGTGGGGGGTGTTTCTCCTTCACTGGATGCCTTCAAGCAAAGGCTCAGCAGCCTCCTGCTGTCAAGTTGCAGTCAACTTGGGGCAACCCCATAAGGTTTTGACAAGAAGAGATGCTCAGAGGTGGTTTGCCATTGTCTGTCTCTGTGTAGCAGCCCCAGACTTCCTTAGCGGTCTCCCATCCAAATACTAACCAGGGCTGACTCTGCTTAGCTTCTGAGATCTGGCTAGCCTGGGCTATCCAGGTCAGCAATATATGCCTTGCCTGACTTCAGCCTGTTTTCCACCTCTTTAAGGAGTGGAGATATTGCATAGTCTAGACACATTGCACCTTTGTGCATGTGTGCACAAACCCAATTCATTTGGAGGTTAATTCCTAGGGTCACCAGGACTCCTACTGTGGCAGGAGACCTCCCAGAAAACCTGGCAGTTAACTGATTTTTTTAGATTCCCCTCCCCCTCTCTTTTTTGGGTGTTGCCAATCAGTGCCTGAAACTCTGGTAGGATAAAAGTGGCTGGAAGTGGGGTCCCATGAGGCAGCACTGATGCCATTTCCCAATGACAACTGGGAGTGACATCATGATTGGGGATACACTCTAGGATTTTCCAAAACCACCACAGAGTTTTGGTGACTCTTAGAGTGTCCCCCAAAGTCATGATGTCACATCTGGTTTTTGTGAGACATGATGTTAGTGTGCCAGCATGATGCCAGCACATCTATCTCTGCTCTCCACACCCTCCCAGGGGTGGCAGGGACTGGCAGGGACTGGCCTGGCAATCCTGTGCAGGTCATGAGCAGAATCCTAAAGATCATAACTGTTTGTTCCAGAGATGGGATGGTTTGTCACTGTGGCTCCTTAATGGTGCCATTTAGTTATTTGTTTCATAACAGCATGCCAGGAATGAATCATAACTGGAGGATTTTGCCAGTTGATCGTACTGATGCTGCTGCATGTATAATAATGAACACAAAGCAGAGCATTCAAAGCAGTAATTTTCCAGCTGCTAATGGGGGAAATGCTGATCCTAGTGAAATCAATGGCAATGTTTTCTGTTGACATCAATTAGGACAAGGTTTCATTGATTCCACTAAGGGCAGGTGTTAGCCCTTGTGTCCTAATGACTTTAAGGCAGGCTA